ACTTGATATAGTGCACGGGTCATTTTGCAATTTATGTGCGTTGGCTGTTGGGCTGGCGTTACATATCTTCGCTACACAGTGCTGACGAGCCCCAAGAACGGCGAAACAGCTGTCCACTGTTGCGATGCTACTTTATCGGTTCTTGTCATGTTGGTGTCTCGAAACGTTTTTCACGTAGTATCAGCCTTGCAGCTTATTGCTTGTCTTAAAATTCAAGTATTGGTAATAGATACTAATAGGTACTCTTACTAACCGAGTTCGAGGTCCGTACTGTAAGTTACGGACTGAGTTTTTTGCCCATCGATTTATGGCCCAAGCGCGAAGCGCGCGGGCCATAAATCGAAGGGGAAAAAACGAGGATCCATAACTCACAGTACGGACCGAGAAAACGAGGTTAGTAAGATATTTATTATATCTTGGCTGGGTGTCTGACGGGTTCGGGAACGATTTCTATTCACACAGAACGGCTTCAAATTTCTGACGCACCTCGAAAGTTAAAAGAGTCAATTTGAAATCGTTAGTAGGTTTTAATACACAATTTCAGAAGTAAAAGAAAGTTTTTAAACTTTTACCGGCTAAAAAGGTTAAGACCACTTGGCGATAAATCACGAAACATTTTGGTAACAAAAACAGCTTTAAATTTTAGCGGGCCGTACAGTAGATCACGGCCCGCTATATGGACCAATCACAGCGCGCGTACTAACTAAGAGATATAAATTAAATTTCTCAGTCTTGAATCGTGAGAGCAAAACCGACAGCTAAATTTGTAGTTGTCCAAACTTCTCTAAAACATACGCAGAGGTTTAGATGTGATTTCTTAGTCGATCAGTTAAAATTTTAGCGCGTCTCTCAGTTATCAGTAAATTTTGCAAATCTCAGAACTAAGCTAACAGTTAAATATTGCGTCAGTTCTCACTGAGGTGACAGTCAAAAGTTTGATCACTTCTTGGCTATCAGCTGAACCCCAATCAGACCTTCTACATTCTGGCTATCAGTCCCTTCTTCTACACTGATTGGAATCTTCGCCTGAATGTAACAGACAATAAAAGAAATCCGCCTCATTTCTGGAGAAAACGACATCGTATGTGTAATGGCACATAAGAATTAAGAGTGAAGTTTATTTACGTTGCCGATTGAGAACCTGCAAATTGTTTCCGAGCTTTACTTACAACGCTCGACAATTAGCGTAATACAAGTTCTGCTGACGTTAAGAGTCTTCGATTGACATCAACAGGCTTTCTATTGGTCAAGATTTCAAAGTTTTCTGCCAATCAAAACTATCACCAAATTGCTTGGGGGGTTTTAATGGACGTACTAAGTGAAAATCAAAAGCACTGTCAATCAAAATCTTAGTCTCCGAAGATCCGAAAGCATTTTTGTCAGTTTAGTTTGAGGCCAGAGAAAGAAAGAAATGCTCCCTGGGCCATCAGTTGTCAAATCGAAAGTCGACAAGGCCAAATGTCTTCTGTGCTTGCAGAAGCCACCGAATTCACTCTAATGTATCTTAACTTCTTCCGGCTTTTAATACATCCCTAAGAATGTAGACAGATCGCAAGACAGCGTATTTAATAATTAATAACCAAAGTTGCCAGTGGCGTTTCAAATTTACATCCATCTTTCACAGAAAGCGTTTCGTGTGCATTTTGTGAAGTTAAAAAAGATGTCTTTTTTTCATTAATCATGGAATGGAAGGCTTCAATTCAAGCAATGCAAAGATGATGAATGTTATAAGCGTCTCTTTAATAAATTCCTTTTCAAATAAAGAATATGTTTAATGAAACATGATTTATGATTTCCCAAGGAGTAAATTACTTATATGCAAATTTACCAAACTGAATTCGATAAACTCGAAGTGCTTCTTTGAATCTGCCTCTGCCAAAAAACGCAAATGATTATATTGTTTTCTTTTCATTTTATTTCTGGAATCAGAAATAAAAAACCTAGGGATCTGCTGTGGCCTCAAATCGAATCTACCACGGCGCGTCATATCTTTGACTTCCAGTCGCGTGTTTGATTCATTTCACTGACCGTTGTCAATTGCAAATGATTTGCTTCGAAAATCATAAACATTTAATAAGGAAGTTTACTCCACAAAATTTTTACCCACAATGTGCGATCCTTCAGTATCTCGCAAGTCTTTTTGCCATCAAAGCAAATTTGTTTGCAGATTAGTAATTTTTAACTCTCTAATCCCGCCCGTATAAATGAAACAGTGATTGTTTTCCCTAGTTGTAGAAAGAGCTACAATACAGGCTTTAGAGAACTTGCGCGCTACAAACATTACTCAAGAGTAGAGATTATGTTGTGTTTTCAGTTGTTTATGAGATCGACGCACAAAAAAAGGCATAAGCGATTGAAACAAAAATAGATAAAGTCGGAAATTAAACTAAGGAACTGCTAGTAATGGAAGTAAAAGCAGCAAGTGATAAATTTGCATACATATCCTAGAAAACTCACCGTGGAATGCACAAGAACTGTAGCAAAGGTTATCCCCAATGTTAGAAGTGTTGTGAAATTCGTCATATCGCTGCCAAGAAGAACGACTGTTTTCTTATGTTCGATTGTGCGTGCTACGCTTTCGCGACCTGTATACAAGTCAACGAGCGCAGCGGAATGTTCTCTTGAAATAACAAACTGGATGTAAAAAAGATTTCCGTTGCACACGGTCAGCAATATAGTTGATTAGCTTTCTTGTATATTGTATTGATTTGTCAGTAGATACAAAATATCACGGGCGTTTGAAGACAGACGCGAGAGAAGAATCCTGCGGCGATGCATATGTTTGCGCGTGACAAAAAAGTAAGCAAATTTAGGTGAATGCCTAAAAGCTATTTTGCATAATGCTTTGTTGATTATTAAAAGGGCGGTCAGATAAATTGAAAGGTACGCCAGTCAAGCCAGTAGTCTGTGGACATAATGAAGACTAATCAACTTCGTTTATCAGACTTTTCTAACCTCTCAACCATTTACTGCGAGCGACGCAAGATTCTTAACTTAACACGTCGACGTACTCGATTTTATGATAGAGAAAAGATTTTTTCCAGAAGGTTTTGGCAAACAGAATGGCATAACCTTCGTACGCGAGATCTTTGATTGAAATGGGCGTTGTCCCTTCCGATGGGATTGGAGCTTCCAAGCGGTCACGTTTTGAACAGCCGCGTAACTTCAATAATATGACAGCAATTTAAAATAAACGGCAGGGTTTCCAATAATTGTAGAATGAATGTTATTAAAAAGGTTTCAATGGAGATGTATTGAACAAGAATTTACAATGTGTTTGGTCATTGATTCAGGGGGTGCTGGAAGTTTAAAATTAAAACTCGACTTTTTGACGCTACGTAGAACTCTAGGAACTGAGCCGAAATGTAAACATCGCTCACAGTGATTTGCCATGAACTCTGAAGACTACAAATTGGAGAGAAATTGCCCATTCTGATTTATTAAATGCAAGTCAGTTCATCTTTCCCTCTCGGACAAAGCAATGTCGACGCCGAATTAAAAGACTTGCATAATTAAGAGCAGTAGAAATATTTTTCAGGCAAACCAAAGGGCATTGTCAATTAAATTGCCTTAATTGATACGACTACGGCGAAAATTATTCAACCACAGTTTACTGTCTGTCAAACGGAGACGTCCTCACAATTTTCTCTTGAGAATCTATCATACGATATGCTTAGAAATGAAACATTGCACTTCTACCATTTTACACCCAAAAGTAAAAGTTGTTTAAAAGACGTAGTTGGCACAAGTTTTGAAGACCGTGGCAAGCGTGGACTTGCAAATTTATACAAGATGTGCATTGTAAACAGCTGGGAAAGACAAGCAAGTGATGTGGCAATAAATTGGAGATATTTGCGATATTGCTAAATATTTAGGTATCCAATACAGATCTTAGCTTTAGCTCTTTACAATATCAAATTGTTTTCAAATGGAAATTTGTTTTCTAGTCTCCGCCTACACTACGCGTGAAGAATTTGAAAACGAAGGTTTCTTACCGAAAATGCATCAAATGGTCTGAAATGTTTTCCGCCCACACTACACCGAAGAAATTTGAAAACGCAACAATCACCGGTCATTTTGGATTTATTTTGAGGAAAACACCGGCAGGGAAATCGCATGGATTGATTATCGTGCACCATCGTTTTCGAAAAGCTCATTTTTCAGAATAAAATGCTTTCAGTCCACACTGAAACGAAAAGACGGCGTTGTCAAATTCCTTCGGCTTAAAGAGCGTTTTCGAAAAGCTCTGTTTTCGGTCCGGATTAGTGTGGACAGTAGGGCTAACCGTAGAAATGCTAGTAAACCTGCGTTTTCAAATTTCTCCGTCGTACAGTGTATCTTTGAGCGTGTATGCCGAAGCAGAAAGCGCGAGTATACCCGCGAGAACGTGACTATCACGCGTTTTTGCTGAGCTGCCTGGCCTTGTAGTCCTTCGTTCTGGCTGAGCTGTCATCTTCTCGAAGAAGAAACTGCACAAAATGAGTGTGCGTTCGTTACTCGTCGTTTTTCTCTTGATCAACCAGAACATCGCTCTGGAGACTGAAATAGGCGAGAGCGAGACTCCGTTTCGAATGAACAAGCTCAATATGATATGGAAGAAGGCGCAAAACAAAATGTCCGAGCAAAAGTTGAGTGACTTTCGACGCCTGCTCGAACTGCAAGACCGTGCGGAAATTAGGTGGAAAGACCTGAAAGCTAAAGGTGGAGACCAGGACGGTGAAATGGAAGCAATGATCAGGCAAAAGTTTGCGCGAATACTGGAACAGTTTGGCCTTGAAAAGCATCTTGACGCCACGGACCGTGGTGTAAACGAAATCAACGACAACAAAGCCGGCAATGGAATGTTTGGCGATAGACGGTTGAGTGAGCTTTGGGAGTCCGTGGAAAAACAAGGTTTGTGTTTGCTTGTGTTGCTTATAAGATGGACGAAAGGTTTTTCCTTAAAGATAATCAGGAATTTTTTTCGCCAAGATATGCTCAAAGTAAGACCAAAACACGGGACATTCTGCAAGCAGGCTGTGTTGCGACTCGTCGATCTGCATGGAAAGACATGCACGAGACAATCAGACATGTCATTTATTTAATTTCATTAAGTTGACTAACATGCATGCATGTCATAGATATTTTCACAACAGTTTCAAACTAGTTGCAGTTCATTAACAGGTTTACCGACTGAGTTTTGAGTGAGGTCACACCAGATGGGAAACATGGTGCATGACACAAGCTCATGATTAGCCCTCCCAGACAGTCAATAAGTACACATTTATTATATGGCCTGTGTTTGTAGCCAGTATTAGAGAACGTGCCCTGATTGGCTAATTGTAAGGAATTATTCTCCCGTAATGCCCACAGGCAAATTACCAGCCTGCAAAAACAAATCAATACGTAATTAAAAAATAATTGCTTTTTTATTGGCCCAAAAGTGCTCATATTGGTAGAGTTTCACTGTAACCATTGAGTGGTGTTACAGGATCACCATTTCAAGAAGTGGCATTTTCTTATTGTGTTTGCATTCTTCATTAGGCAAATTCAGCAAGGAGGAACTTGATGATCTCCGAACTGAATTTACCCACCACAAAGACAAAGTAAAAGAATACAACCGTCTTCTAAGGGTGCTAACAGACCATGATGACATCTCAGAAAACTCTGTTTTCTCCCGAAGTGAGATTAAAGAGAAAGAACTTGAGAAGTTACGGAACAAACTTCAGGATACTCACGAGTCCCTGAGTAGAAACTACGCCCGACTGAAAGAAAAGACAACTGGGGAGAAGGAGGGTACAAGTTTATTCCGTGATCGTCGCGTGACAGAGTTGTGGCAGAAAGCTCAGAATGGAAAGTTCAGTGACGAGGAACTTGAATCCATCAAGGTAAAGTGCTGGCTCCTTTGAAAACTGGATACAAAAAAAGATGATGTAACTATGTACATAGCATTTCCCATCTGTTCTGGTCCATTTTGAATATCCATTACATTCCTTCGAAGGCCTACTCCAAACATTTTGTAGCAAGTGAGACTTTGTAGAAAGTTGCCAGGGCATTATGTTAAACTCAAAACCTGCTTAACCAACAGTACAAAGGTACAGATCCATTTTATATTTTACAATGTCTTGTTGTGGTTGTGTTCTGGGCTCGTGTATCGCATTTTACACTCTGCCATTTTATTTCTGTCTGTTCTGCAGGCTATTGCCATTGAGACAGTCACGAGTCTCTGTAGAACGTTCATCAGAAAAGAGCATGACTATATAGGCACAGTAAGATGGAGTGTTCTATATTATACTAATACAGCCTGCAAGAAGACAACTATCTTTTTCAGAGAAATTCCCAGTGAAATCATTGTAATTCCAAATGGCAGGACAATTCCTCATTACAGTTGTGCAGCTTTTTATAAAGTGGGGGTGTTGCGTAGTCTCCTTCGCAGCCATTATTAAGGTCGTCACGCAATGCTTTTCCCCCACTAGTGGGGGAGAAGCGTTGCATGACGACCTGTATAACGGCTGCGAATGAGACTAGGTGTTGTGATGTGTATTTCATGTCTTCCCTAGGCCCACCTGTTGATCCCTTGAAAACTATAGTCATCCTGTATCTGAAAAAGGTTTTTTTGATTTCTCCTTTTTAGCAAGAGCTGTTCCACTTTGATCACAAGATACTGAAACACAAACAGTTTCAAGAGGAAGCTGAGCATTCTCATCGCCTTCTTAAAGATGGCCATCACCATCTGAAGGAGAAACATGAAACACTACTAAAAAAGGCACAAGAACATGGAAAATGGGTAAGAACATTATTTGAAAATCAATTCTCCTTTCCCTCTTTTTACTTCAAAATAGTAAAATAACCAGTGGTCAGTAAAGATTGCTCGTTATTGTGGTGGGCTTCGATTGATGAACCTAGAAAAATATGTTGCACAGGTGCATATAATAATTGTAGTATTTAGATGTGCTATCTCTTCTGAATAATCTCCATGTCTCTTAGATATATAACGATTTCCCCAGTCTGTCATGCAGCTGTGATGTAGGTTGTCAAACCTTCAATTTACAGATTGTCTGATTGCAACTCTAGGATATGTTTGTTGGCATTGGGTGGAAATCTGGATAATGTAGTTTGTTACTGTTGGATCGCTGTTTTTTGGCTTTGTTTGTTGTTTATTGTTTTTGTGTTTAGTAAGGGAAGGATCAGTCATACAATGTACATGTGCATGTACATGTAACTATGAGCGATGTTCTTACTTTTTCAAGTAACATAAACATGAAGGAATCTTCAACAGCTTCTGCATGATCCCGAACAATTATTCTCAGCATCAAACATAGAAAATCAGCATCTCTTTGATTAATTGAAAAATAATTAGTTTCCTTTGTGTTCAATAGGTGAAGAAAATGCATTCAACTTTGATGGACAAAGTGACAAAGAGTGAGCTGTAAGCTACAGACAGTTGCACAGGTCGTGCTAACGACGTTTCCGTAGGCCAGCTGTAAAAAGACAGGCATTGAATGTAGCTAGCTAGTTATAAGTTTATAAAATGCAATTTGTAATGAAATTCACAGCCTAATGCAACTTAGCAAAAGTCCAAGACAAGGACCAAAGGATCCATCTTGTAAAAAATATTCTGCTTTTAACAAACTAAGGCACTTGATACTTTAGGTACAAGTAACAATACCTTATCATGCAGTTGCTCATGTACATGTATTTAATGCAACTCAGTGCACAACTAAGACTTGTGTCTGAGGATGTTGTAAGCAAACAGTTGACAATGGAAACTGACACATTGAGTAGTTACATTGTAATCACATTATTATACACTATTTAAATAAATGCATATTGCATGTTATTTAATGCTATTTAGTGCACTCATAAGACATATATAAGACATACACGTACGGCTGCAAGCAAACTGGAAACAACTCAGTATGGTTATGAGTGAGAAAGATCAACCTCATTCCCAGGGCCTTTTTCCTTTGGCCAAGCCAGGGAAAAGGCCCTGGGGATGGGGTTGGAGAAAGATGATGACTTATTGGGGCCAACTTTCGTTTAGACGCACTGTCTGCAGCAAAACTCCTTCAAGAGTCAGTAACTTAATCATCAACTTGTTGTGCCTTTATGGAGTCATTTAAAACCTTTGGAGTCAGTGAATACTGCTCATGTAATACAGTATAGTTTGTAGCACATGACTATGCCTAATGTTTAGTGTTTGGTTACAGTGTAACTACCCTTGTGTGACACTTTGTCCAGACATGTGTAACAGTTGTGTTTGGGGGGCAGGGGGGGGGGGGGAAGTCTGCATCACACTAAGTGTGCTACATACTGCCAGAGCTTATTGCAGTTCCCTTGGATGGGATGCCAGATCATCGGAGGCTAACCCCCCTGCATTAAATTTGCTGATACCCATCTATACACCTGGGTGGAGAGAGGCACTGTGAGAGTAAAGTGTCTTGCTTAAGAAGACACAACAATGACCCCAGTGCGGGCTCAAATCTGGACCACTTGATCTAGAGAATAGCACATTAACCATAACCACCACATCTCAACAATGTTTTTAGGTGTGACTCAATAATGTATCTCACATGTATCTGTAAGTGGCCGAGTGACAATTCTGCAGTAGTCAGCTAACGATGAGTATTATAACACTTGATTTTTGGTACATTTTTGTGGTGACCATAGAAAGAGGGCTCTTCATATGAACAAGAGTATTTATTATTTTACACTGTTAAACTGGTCTTGGACACAATCAAGAGCCTTCAATATGGTCACCAAATAATGTACAAAATATCTCATCATGGTTTAAGTGACCTCACTTCAAAAACTTGTCTGTAAAAGTAAAAAACCAAATTGCACCAAAGTATGTATTTATTCTTTGACAATACCTTTTTATTGTATCACAACAGAATAATAATTTTTCACGACTTCTTAAAATATGTCATACATTTTGTACCCCCAAAATTAATAATCAAGCTACAACTATACTAGCATTTTCTTTTTTATATATACAATTTTATGCTAAATATATTTGTTGCTTGATTTATTCTTTTGTAGCTATATCCAGTAAAGAATATAGACTATCTGTTGTTTAATACCAATAAAAAATAATTCTTGATATATTAACTCTATTTGCATAATTTGTTAAAACAGTTGGTAGTATTTGTAAAAATGAATTTTTACTCTTAAGAGTTTTCTTTTCATTTATTTTTTTTTTCCCCTGGTGTGTATTGTCTAAATTTTTTGATGGTTCATCAGTTAACTGTTCTATACCAACATGTTTGTACAAGTTTAAAAAATTGACATAATTATCCTCATGACAGTGCTGCAGCAAGGAACTTACTAAGTCTTTCTTTTTCAAGTATGGTAATTGTAAAATGTGAAGTAGTCCATCCACAAACCCTATATTTTGTCTGAGTTCTTCAAGATCGCAAGCTTAGCTAAATATTAACCCAGTTGCATGCAAAATGAACAAGCCAAAGCACAAGGTTGTGGGGCTGGGGAAAGACAAAAGTAGCTCTAGGGATGTTTAATTTATTGTGCCGTCTTTGCAGCTGCTCTTGTGTTCAAAGAAAATAACTTGTAGCAAAAAAATTAGTGCCTGTGGACAGACTTAATGTGAAGGGATCTTGAACAGCTTCACTGAAGTGAATGATTGATCATGATTCTCACCTTCAAACAAAGCAGAGCACCAGTGATCATGTTTGAAAATCAATGAAGACTTGTTACCTAATATTTACTATGAATTTTTTTCCTTTGTCTCGGATACTAACTGAACTCCTAATCAACCTGGTCAGGAAATTATTTTTAAACCTCAAGTACATTGCTCATAATCAAATGATTACACCCACAAATTCCATGCAACTTGTAAAAAAATATTTACCTCTAAATGTATTTGCAATCCCACCTCTCCCCCCCAAAAAAAATCAGTTCCCTATAATGTTCTTGATGAAGAGGCAATACTATTTTCATTTCTTGCTAATAACAAAACTACATTATTAATCAATGTGATTTTGCATTAGTACCTCACTACTGCAAGGGGAACTGATCTGAAAGTCAACCTACAAAAAGGTGGCAGTCTTAAATCTTCCTTTTCTATTTGCCACATTAAAAACGAGAAGAATCTGGGATGATTGCAAGTATCATCATGCAGTAATGTGTCACTTGTGGGATCATTACTGGGAACAAGTTTTTAGATTTTCATCTTTCTGTCTGCAGTAACAGTCTCACAGTCCACTGCAAGATGAGACTTGCCCCACGTTTTTTTTCTTGTTTCAGAAGAACTGGGAGTCACTGATAAAATTGTTATTTTCTTTCAGCCCCATCTATGAATAGGAAACAATTACAGGCAGGAATTAAAAGTATAAACTCTTAAGTATTAATGAGTCACAAGTCAGGTCTTTTGAGTATATGTAATAGTTATGAAATGCTTTTGTGTCGCATGCCATGGAATATCCCATGAGTCACACAATAAAATGTTGCATTTCCAGGCTAGTTTAAATACATTTATAATTATTGTAATGACATCACCATTATTGAGAGCTACAGTAATTTTCAGGCATTTTTAGGCTATCTGGAGGGCTATTTCAGCCTAATTACAGCCCTACTCAGACTAACTGAAGTAGCATTTAAGCTACAGTAACTAATTAAAAATGTTATCTAGGCCAACCAGAGTAGAGCACCATTTGACCAGTGCCAGATACACTTGCATTTCTCATAGACAGGACAGGACATTGAAATTATGGTCAGCAACTAAATTCTTTCTCTACTTGGCCTTCTTGATATTGAAAACAAAAATACCACTAAGAACAAAATAAACAGACGTGACAAGAAAGAGGATGATGTATCCAAGTCCAATATCACATCTGAGTCTTTCAAACATGTCTAATATGATTCCTCCTGTTGGTGTGGCTATGGCTTGTGGGAGAACAAGAGCCTGGGGAAATAATTTTAAACAGAACAACTTACTGTTGTGTAACAAAGTACAGGATTGTACATGTTGTTGGCAAACCTTAATCAAAAAATAATTATGTCAGATTGGTCTCAAATTTTGATTGGTTCTTACTGTACTTATGATCTACTGGAAGACAGACGTATATATAGATTTACAGATGTATAATGTGACACTTCAGTGTAGATGCTCAGGGTAAGGGATACCTGCCATGTTTGTTCAAGTCCGAGTGGAAACAGTCAAGCAACTGAACAAATTTCAGGTTTTTTTCAAGAACCAAAATTCTCAATGACTTTCAAACCCTGGAATTTTGGTTTTTAAATTCAAAGACTCTCAGTGCAAGGTGCATGCAAACCCTGATACATACAAAAGGACACATAGCTACATGTAAAGCCTTTAGTACGCTTTGCAGGCCTACTACGGTTATCTCAATGAGGCTACCTGATGCCACACAGCCAGGTCCTTGGCTTTCTCTCTGTCATTAGGAAGCACATCCATCACAAGAGCAAAATCCACTGCACAATATGCTCCAAAGCCTACCCCTGACAGGACAGAGTTGTCAAGTGTAACATGTCATGTAATATGAACTATATATACAAGACTTTGTTTGACCAATCAAATTTCAAGTTATGCTGCAAAACAGGGAAACCAAAACAGCCACATACTACACTGTCTGTACTAAATTGCAATGCTTGTGCAAATGATACTTGAATCACTGACTGATTTTGGAAGTTCAGGAAATAGAAAAAAGGTTTAACAGAAATTGCCACTAACAACAGCTTACTGTTAGCAGAATAACCATGCTTACCAAAAGTCAAGGCTACTGGCATTGCTGCGTAAAAGGCATACTTTCCCTGCAATCCAGCCAATATAACAGCACAGATACTCATTAATATTGCTAAAAAAAAAAAAAGAAGAGAGAAGTCAATAGGTGTTATAGACACTCATTTACAATTCATTAAATTATCTGTAGTACCTGGAGAACAACAATATTATTGTTTCTGGACAATGCACATGTATCAATACTGAACATTTACTTATTAACTGGAATAAAGCCTGGCTTGAGAAATTATATTATTATATCTTATGTATTAGAGCGTCAATGTACCTGATCCAACAACAAGAGGTTTTCTTCTCCCAAGTCTGTCTGAGAGGAAGCCCCCTATAACAGAACTAACCAAATATGTATGTTTAGAATTTTTGATCATTAGGATTTAACTGAAAATAGTTGACAGCCTGTGCTTGTTCTGATCTATTCTATTGTTTCACCAACCAACGGCTTGGCTTGTTCAGTGACACAATAGGTGTTACAGGAGGTCAGGTTTTACAGTACATGTATACTCACAATAATGCTGCAGAAAACAACATTGGAAGCAGGAGCATTGCCACACTTCTCTCAGGTGACCAACAGTTTGGTAATGTAACCATGTCGCCCAACCAAAACTCAAGAAACCTGTGGTAATAAAATTATACTACATTTAATACTGTAACTAAAATTCAGATACCCTGTAGACCTACATGTAAGCCCTACAAAACATCCTCTTATAACCAGTCAAAATTCTTATTCAATCAGAAAAAAAAAATGAAGATATTACACCAAGATAATGAAACATTGCTGTCTGTGTGCTTCAACTATTACAGATCACAATTAGAACATCTTGACCTTGCATATAAATAACTATGATTCCCTGCAGGGATGTCTCTTAGAGGGAACTGGCTATATTGCTGAACCTTTCTTTGTTACCTGTTTTCGTCCAAGTGTTGGGGCAATAAACGGAATATTAGCTGTCAATAATTATTAGCACATTAACCAACACCTGCATTTCCATGGATTATTTTATATTATTTTTGTCCAATGATTGCTCTGAAAGGTCTTTTACACGTATACACAAAAATTCTCTGTTGTGTTAATGAATTTGTAAAATTATTTTCTGTGAGAGAAACATTTACACAGTGAGATGTTCTCTAGAGATAACAGACTGTCTCCTCTATAACTGCTGAGTTAAGCAAGCAAAGTTACAGAACCATGCCTTACCCTGTAACCGTGGCAACTCCTTGCTGCATCAGGAACCTGGTGAGGAACACCCACCTGAAGTCTCGCTCTACACAAGACAAGTAACAACTTACAATAAATATTACATACATGTCAAAAGAAAATAATCAGTTTTTTTTTACATGAATTAACAGACCTATACATGGATTTCAGTGGTCTCTATAAACAAAGCAAGTTAAAAGTTGACTGAATAATCAATTATTCACATTCAGTCTTCAACACTCCTGTGTTAAAACTCTGCATATTTTGGTCTGGAATAGCCATGTGCCATCATTCTTCCCCCTCCCACTCTGCATGCTACACATTTCCACATATACTTTACAAAAGCACTCACTCACCTTTTAGTGGTTCCCAGTATGCATGAAATACTGCCTTCAGACCTGGTGAGTATAAAGAACATCAAATGCAAAAGAGAATTTGTACAGACAATCATAATAAACTCAAAATAAAAAAAAATGGTTTTCTCATTTAAACAACTGTTGAGCGAGCAATTTATTTTAAGAGGGTCTCCTTCATCAACTGTTGACACTCTGAAGTTGAAACTGAGTGACACTGTGCAAAATCTGTATACATGTACTCAATTACTGCTCAACAAACACCTGAATGACAATCTTATTGAAAATTAATCTACTTTTCAACTTAAGCTGTTTTGCCAAAATATTATGGCCAGCACACACATAAAAATAAAACTAATACTGGCCAAATAAATTTGCATGTCTTTTGTATATATCATCTCTTACCTATGGGTTTGTGGGTGACTTTATTAGGGGGCTCTGGACAGGAAAACACAGTAAGGAGCACACACACAAAATATAGAACAGCCACCAAGGAATATGTGCCAACCACTCCAATTTTCTACACAAACAAAATAACATTTAATTATCTAAAATTCAAAAATACTGATTTGTGCTTTAGCATGTATCTTCAAGATATGATACATGTGGGCTTTGCTCAAGAGGCAGCCGATAGTAATTCTTGCTTCTCGAGTGCTCTCTAAACCTTTCAAGTTCATCATACTTACACCCGCTTTCAGTGTTATGTGCGTAGGTGACATCTTTCAACCATCTTTCAACCAGCTAATAGTATGTAAACAGCTGAAAGACCCTTTAACTGTGAAACTGGCAATTTGTCCGGTTAGTAGCTGAACAAATGGCAAAATAAATGATAATTACTGTCCTCAAATAAATGAAGAAGATTGTGGACTTTGCATGTTTCCCGATTTATGGGATAATTCAAACGATTTAAGTGTAGTCGATTGGCTCTCAATAGTGACTTCCGGTAGAATTGGGCTGCTACCACTCAGTTAATATACTTTTAAAAGATTTAAACATTCAAAACAGTTGATTTATCTCTCACAGAATGACTCCTTGACACTCCTAGCCATAGTTTGATGTCAAACAAATCCACCTTTCATGACTGAAAGTCGAGTTCGACCATAAAGAAGTCTGTTGTGCTTACACTTTCGACATAGGCCAGTTTACATAGCATGTTGAGAGATGACATGTCAAAAGACAGTCGCTATGCACGAAACACTGAAAGTGGTTGTAACTTGATGATCTACAGCTTAAAGCATAAAGTGAAGCCTTGAAGCCGACTGGCTCATAGCTGCCAGAGCTTATCCCGGTTTCTGTAGCATGAATTGACTAGAAGTATTTCTACTCCCCCTGGATGGGATGCTAGTCCATCGCAGGTCACTCCCCCGCAATTTGTTAGGTTTCCCCAACAATTCGCCAGTACCCATTTATGCTCCTGGTGGAGAGAGGCACTGTGAGATTAAAGTGTCTCGCCCAAGAACACAACACAAAGTCCCCAGCCAGGGCTTGAACCTGGACCGCTTGTTCCAGGGACAAGCATACTAACGATGAGGCCACCGCACCTCCACCACTAAAGCATAAATCTACGTTTTATTACATAGCAAATGAAAATTTAAATTTAAGTTAACTCTGCTGATGCTATGTCAACTTCCACCTGTCCAGTAGTAGACTGACATTTTTGCTTGAGACTTAATAAAACTATTCAGCTAACTGTCCACGATCTTCCACGCAACTACTGGCCAAAGGTAGACCAACAAATGGCCAACATGCATGTACAGATACCTGACAGCTTTCCTTGTGAGCTCATTTTCAATGTAATTCACTTTAATTAAGTTGAAATTATCACTGGCATACTTTGCAAAATTGCTTTTCAAAGAGAACTTTATTAATTAAGGTTTAGAAAAAGCAGTGAGCTTACAAAATTAATTAAGAATGTAATGTAACTGCCACAAGTGAGGGTTTAACTGTCAGGCTGTACACAAGTCTGGATTACATGTTACCATTGCTTGGATTTATTAGTGATTTTCATCAGAATAATATAATTACATATACATGTATAATAACAAATATTTACTTGATTAAATTAATTACATTAATTATTAAGGTATTTTCAATTGGTATTTCGTTCTTACAGTAGCTTGATTCATTGAATATTTCAAGTGAAAAGTTCATTTTAGAATATTTTTCAGTTTTCTTGTCTATTTACAGTTCTTTAATAAACAATACTTAAATTACAGTTTGTAATAATTAATGTTAGGAAGTTTCGATACTCACCGGAAAGAAAAAGCCTATGAGGGCACCTGTTACATTTCCAACTAATGTCATAGCTCCCATGACTCCAGAACTGAAGCCTGTTGTTAATCAGGTTATAAAATTTAAAATGTCTTTAAACATTTTTAGATTCATAAATTTATTTTATATTGTGCAGGTCCAGAAGATATCCATACTCCCCCCACAGAAGGGATTGGAATTTCCTGGGGGGTGGGGGTTCTGTAAGACCAAAAATTTAAAGAAATGTGTGAAGCTTTATTGGAATTTCCAGAGGGGTGGGGGGTCTNGGGGGGGGGGGGGTCTTAGAAAAAACCCCTTCTGTGGGGGAGGTATGAATATTTTCTGGAACTACACATTTAGCATTAATGAAAAAAGAATTACTTGTACAGGAGTTCAGTATTTTTACTTCTTTATCCCATGCTCCTAAAACCTAGTTAAATTATTTCACAGTAAATTTAATTGTCCACCTTCACTGTGGCACATTTTAGACAAATTACTGTAAAATTACAATGATTTTTTAAATAATAAACACAACATGCAGATTGTAGATTTAATTGAGTTCAAGTCTCAAATAAATCTATTTTGATTATAAAAATTAATATGGATTTTACAGTGACAAATGACACCAGTAATGTATCTACAAATTTGGAATGATAACATCTAGCCAGTGTTTTGGTTAGCCTCCAAATTCCAGCCTTGAATTTAGCACTTTATAAAAGCATATTTAATAAAATAAGTTGCTCTTGGTAAAAAAAAATCTGACATTATTTATTTGTCATTTAACATTAGTTATGTTTAAGTAATGTTTAAACTATTACATTAATCAATAATTTCTAAGTCAAATTCTTGAATAATTTTTACTATTTTATCCCTCCCCAACAAAGAGTAGTTCTTGTTTTATAATGCAGTAAACTATTGAATTCAGGCAATGAATATAGCATATTTAATTTATGTACATAAATATACATGTAGTACTAATCAACTGGCTGTGGATGTTTATACATCTTACCTCTTTGGAATGGTGGTGTCAAATCAGCTATCAGCCCATTATATGGCACACTCATAATAGAATAACATGCCATAACACAGAGATAAAATGCAATGTAAAGACCTGTAGGAGGACATTAAACTTGTATTAAAGACAGCGTGGTGTCCACAGGTCCACAAGGAAAAATGGTTCTAAACACTACAAAAGTTCTGTTATGAACATTACATCATGGTGCAAACCTATATTCCCTCTTGAATCTTCTTTCTGCATCAGAATGCTGAGCAAGAAGCTTCTATCTGAATCAACTGTCATATTGTCCTGAGACTGCTCTAAGACTGACAGGTTGAAATATGGCAGACAACGTCGCAGCTTTAAATCTATGGAACACTAAATGAAGAAAGAAACACATTGCTTAACATTAACTGCATGGAAAATATGGGATCATGAAATTAATATCAAATTAATGCAAACAATTTGTATTTGGACTGGGCTGTTAAGTTGGCATGTACAGTAAGTATGAGATGAAGTCTGTCCAAAAACACACTTCATTTTATGTACCATGAAGTGACTAAGAATTTTTTTTTTATTTCACACTCCCCGGGGAAGGAATACTGTCTTATCCTTTTGCATGTTTGCCCACAGCAGTTAATTCAGTTAGTACCCAGTTAAACACATGGGAAGTGAGAGGAAATCTGAGAATAAAGTTTCTTTCCAAAGTTCTAACACATAACAATTGACTTGGCATATCTTTTTACCATGAGCCGTTGTAACTGAGCTTTTCTTACTGATTAAAAAGCTAGCATACTACAGTGGCTAAATGTGCATTGCATGTTACACCTGTACATAACAAGCATGTGCAGGTACTTGGTAGAAAGACACTTGGACCTTTAAATTACAAAAAGGAACAAAACTTCACTTACTGTTACATTTGATATGTCACTGCAAATGATATGAAAGAAGAACACTGTGTTAAAAATCACAAAACAGGAAGATAGAAAAAACTGACTGACTGACTGACTGACTGACTGACCGACCCACTGACTGACTGACCGACTGACCAACTGACTGATTGACCAAATCTGAAATGCCCCACTGATTGACCCACAACCCACTGACTAATACACTAACCTACTGACTGACTGTCATGACTAACTGACACACCAGCTGATTGAGTGACTGTCTGGATGTCTCGTTAACCACTTACTGGCTTATAAATGGATCCCTGTACAGTATATACCAACAAACAGATTTTTACTTTTAAAATGTAATGTCTCTGTCAGTAATTATAAAGAAGTCCTCACCTTTCAATATCAGGAGCACTGAATGCCATGCCAAATAGAGATATACTGAAAAAAAAAAACTCTCATTTACTTAGAGTCCAAGAGATCAGCCAGGATTAAGGAAAGCAAAGGAGGTTTAGAGTGCAATGAAAATGGTCAAGAACTACATAACACTCCTTTTTTTTTCAAAAAAGCAAAACAAATTTTGTATGAGTTCAATTGGCTAATAAGTCACCAGAGATGAACATGACATGCTAACCCAAATAACAACTACAATGGAGGCCATTTTGTAAAATAAAAAGAACTCAAGATTAAGTTTATTGTTATTTCCTTTAATTTGAAAATTTTCCTCACCATAGTAACACAGTTCCACCAAGCATAAGAGGGCGTCGTTTTCCATACTGGGACACGAGACGATCACTAGAGGCAGGATACAGAATTTTTATTACAGTTCAACCCCTATTAAACAGCCATTTAATACATGTACATGTAGGTGTCCACTTGATAAGGGTTTGCCTGTGTGCAAGTATCAGGAAATGAAACATTCCAAGAACCTATATGTATTTATCATATTGATAACAGTGTTCAATTCAAGGATGGCAGCTCAATTGTTTTCTGCTATTCCCGTTTCTTTCCCCTGCCTCCAAATAAATTAGGCTTAATGATTCCTTCTATTAAACAAACCTAGTGAATAACACCTTTTTCATCACCAAATTTTTTCAACATACCTTTTCATTCCAACAAGGGGGCTCAAGAAAAATGTGACCACTGCAGAAAAATAACAATAAAATATTAATTAAAATAATTTACTTGCACGGACCATCTCTCAGAAAAGACACCTTGTATAAAAAAAGCAAATCCTTCCAAGTTAACTAGTGGAGAAAATGTATGAAAAACAGAAAGGAGAAGATTGGATTAGATCAACTTACCAGCACCAGCAGCTACCATGCCACCCAGCACTTGGCCTTTCTGTTCAGAACCAACAAGTGCATACACTTGAGATGGCACAACTACATGGAGGCAACAAGTCAGAAAAAAATAAGTAACTCTACATGCAAGTTCCCCTTCTTTGTTCAGATTTTCTTTCGACAATGCTTGAAATAAGTAGGCCACAGGGCACCTAATGGTCTAAGAAAAATCACAGGGGTCCAAAAGGTTCCTGACTAGGAGGCAGCGTGGACGAGTGGTTAGGGCACCGGACTTGAAATCTGGAGGTCACGGGTTTACAGTGTACGTCCTGCTCTGACCACTCAGCTGGAGTTGTTTCTAGACCCTAGTTCAACTCCTCAGTCATGCTTGTACATAGCCAACTAGTCTGCCTCCCGCCAGTTGGGATTTTTAACCATGTTATGTTCATTTGCATTATTTGTTTCATCATTTGGTTTCATTGGCCCTGAACAGCCCCATTGGGGGAGTGGTCAATTAAGATATATCTGTGAAATCCTGGGTGCCCAGCACTTAACTAAAGGCTTAATAAATCATATGAAAAAGGAAGTTTTTTCAGTCACCCAAAGGCAACAGTTAGTTGCCTGTGGCACCTGGGCACCCTGCTAACTTCAGGTAATCTTTTCAACATGTATCTTCCTTTTCTGCAGGCAATAAACAGTTTTCCTCACCAGTAACACACACTCTGTCCCTTCTAACTCTGAGTTTTCACCAGAAAATTATACTTCAGAGGTCAAACTGCTCTCTGATTTAAATGGAACACCCTACAGACTGCAAGTACAAAATGCACAAAGATCTACCTACCTTCAACAGATAGAATAAGGTACATCACATTCATCCCAAACCATGATATATTCAGGAAGAAAACTCTGGACTTTGAAAGAGCTGGAACTTGGCATGACGTTTCTAGTCTAATTCAAAATAAATCATGACAGTTCATTGACTAAGCAACTAAATCAAAGAGAAAAAACAATCATGATACCTGTATTTATTTTTAACTGAGTGTCTGCTTACCAACATTTAATACTTTCAAGTCATGTAAATGTCATACAGTACAGAGTAAAGCACTCACTGCCAAACTGTTATAAGGAAATGACTCTACTTCGTAACTGTACTTACATGTAATGCTTAAAAATGAAAGACATTGAGAATAAGTGTAGCTATTTTGCATGATGTTACAGGGTGTAAAGCAAATGGATTTGATTGGTAGCTCTTTTGACAAGTTAGAGCCTCACCTATGTAGGCCTTAACTTAAGTTGCCAAATGAAAATTACAAGAAATGTTACTTGCCCATCAGGCAAAAATAAGCAGATGGAGAAAACCCACTTGCTCCAGGCTACTCTACTAAGGGATCCAGGAGTTAGATATACATAAAATGCAAAGATATTAGCAAATGTTTCCAACAGGAGGAAAATTATATACAAACTGGTCTCACTAGGTGAGGAAAGGACTCCTCATTGATTTAGCTTGATTTAGCTGAGCTTGGTAATTTTTTGGGACTGCATATGATATTGATTAAAATTTATTTTCAATTAGAAATAAAACTTACTGTTTATCGTCATGTTTGTGTTGCTCAGCTTTTTCCTGGTCATCAAGTCCCTGAGGGTCAGACTCAGACCCTGTTAAAGCATGTATGGACATAATATTATACCTCTTGTCAATCAAACCAAAGGTCCAATCATAATCATCATCATCATCAAAATCAACACCATCTCTTAATGTTACTGCTTAAACATGATTAAATGTTTTATCAAGGCTCACACTGATAATGGTAAATAACTGAAGAGGTTATCTTATCATTGTCACCGTCATCATCATCATCATCATCATCATCATCATCATCATCCATTTGCCTTATAAAATTATATATATATATATAGTACTAAAAAATATAGCAATTTTAACAGGGTAAGAAAACGTCTGGAGCTTACTGGGAAGGTGGCCTCAACTGTTATTATGTTTTAAACATTATTATAAGCTGTGTTTGAGCAGCTTGGCTAGTTTAGCATTACAGGATGTTATCCAGTTTCCAACCAGTATCAATATCCAACCAACTCAAAAATAATATTTCAATTCTTGCATTGTGCACATTGATTTCTAGAACTAGAAAACAAAATTTACAAATGTGCAAAACGAAGTGCAGAACATTGAATTTCTGGCAGTGTGAAACAAAGACTGTGGACTGCACACTGAAGACTGCTCACCACAGATCAGATGTACAGTGCCGACTGAGAATAAATTTAAATGCAGGCCACAGACTTTTACGCATATACATATACAATGCTACCATTTCTATTGATGGGAGCAACAGCTGTAACAGTAAACAGGTATTATTCAGCCTAGCCTATGCAACACTTAGCCCAACTGGAGCACTATTCAGGCTAACTGGAGTGCAGATTTTCACTCTGAACTCCAGTATGATCAAACAACAGTACCCAATTCTTAATCTGAAGACCCCTTAAATCCGTAGGGCCTAGGGGTCTATTGACAACTACAGAAAGCTGGGTGCAATAAAAAGATGTAAGCGACCTATAGGATACATTTTGTACTTCAAATTTCTTGAATATGAAAACACAATTATCACAATGTGGGACTACTATTTACTTATGGGAAAAGATTCTCATTACAACGTGAAAAATATTTCATTGATTCGTACATTTTCGTTGATTTTACAGCTAAACGTTTTTAGATCAAATCGAACTATTTCAGTTATCGATTACACGTTTCGAACTGTATTAACCATGAATGCTTTGACGCAGACTATTATAATGCTTCGTCACTTCTATAGAACAAAATAAATTTATAAAGTGAAATTAACTCTTGATGTAATTTGAGATCGGAGATGGAAAATTTTCATGCCACTACCAGGCAAGGAACGAAAGCACGTTGCTGTTAAACAAGCGATAAGTTAACCAATAATCTGTTATTCATTTAAATCACCTTTATCTGCAGGGGCTTCTTCCATCTTTATGTCATTCCCTGAGCTGGGATGGAGAAGAAATCGAAAGTCATGACAACAATACTATTCATAAAACAATCTCTCGAACAATACGGTCTGTGACACTAGCTAAGCTTATTATTTTTTAACTGAATTTTCACCCACCTTGTTTCCATTCTGATCAAATATATAGATCGATACACCCTTTCATGTTATTCCCGTCGAAGAACACCAATTTTCAGGTCATTTTTCACGCCTGCCAGAAGAAAATCTGTACCCCCCGCTCGCCACATCAGATCATCGCCATGTTGACAAACTGACATCACAGTCTAGGACCCAGACTTCTGATAAAGATTGAAGGCACGCACAGCGTGCGGAGGATCTACCTCTTGCCCCTTATTACCTTATGCTACAAAAGTTTTCCGTCCACCACATTTAAGTTTTGAATTAATGTTTTTTGCATATATTTCATAAACTAGTGATGAATCATTTCAATTTCACTCGATCATTTTTATAGGTACACTCTAGCTTCGAATTCGGCTTGTCTTTTGCAACAATTGGTCACGTGACCGATAATTTCTAAACTTTTATCTACAGCTATATGCATTTCAAAAATAGAAAGAGCATGTTTTAAATAGCCAGAACATCAATTTAAGACCAATGCCAGGTAAGATAGAGATTTGAATATTGCAAAAGATCGACGATTTGAATATTGTAAAAATAAGGGGAGTCTTTCTTGAAGCGAGGAAGCTTTGCCCTCCAGGAACCTTTTCCTTTACTGGTCACTACAAAAGGAAGGTGCTGGCAAATAATAATAGTCCTTATAATCCATCAAATATTTTCGCTCCAGCGCGATTGGTCTAAACGCGTCACGTGACCTAATATTCCCCAGGTAAAGCTGGGGCATATCCGAGGATATTCGCCAATTTTCAAAACCGCGCGTTTTGCGAAAAATATTTGAAGGATAATAAACACAATAGACCCCATTTGGCACGAAAATATGCTAGCATATTTGTCCTTGGACATTATCTGTTCCTCGAAGCTCACAGTTTTCCTCTCCGAAAACTGTTCGCTTCTCGGAACAGATAATGTCCGCGGACAAATATCCTAGCATATTTTCGCGCCAAATGGAGACTATTGTTTATTTAGTGTCACCCAACTAGTGGACTAATGCAAATCCTGCATTTTGATTGGCTACGTTACTAGGGGACTATTAGCAATAGTCATCGAGTAGCGAAATTGGCGCCGTCGAGCGTGACGCTTTCTTTCGTTTTANATATTCGTATTCTCGGTATTGCACTGGAACTACAGTCAAACCTCCTGCAAGCGACCACCCAAAATGTCAAGCCTATGTGGTAGCTTACGGGAGATGGTAGCTTACGAGAGCTTAGACCATGCATATGGCAACTGCAGAGACTTACTGTACCCCATGTTTTAAATGTTTTATTAATATGAAAAGTCAATTTCGAGAAAAAACAATACGGTACTTCCCACTGACAAATTTCCGTCTCTTGGACTACTCAGGAATGCGATAATGTTACTACGCCTTAAACCATTTCCGCCCTATTCGTCTGTCAAGTGGTCGCAAGTGGTCGCTTACGGGGGGCTAAAAACAAAAGAAAATTTCTAACGTTGAGCTCTGAAAGTGGACGCGGTCGCTTAGGAGAGGTGGTCGCTTACAAGAGGTTCCAGACATAGTGATTTGAAGTTCGTATAGTGTGATCGTCCGGGTGAGTGTAGTTCTGAAAAGAACTGTTGTTGGTGACTGACGTT